ATATCAGCACATAAACATAGGTAACCTATATGTACTTCATATTGAAAGATGGAAAAATTGAAATATACACCCAAGGCCTTCGATTCACAAGAGCCCTTCGTTTAATGACAATACCCGATGTACTACAGTACCTAAATATTCTGAAAACCTCCAACAGTATTCGCTTGTGTCAGCTGGTCTCCACACTCATCAGCGTTTGGTTCACTGGGGCAGGGTTCGTCCATTTGGTCAGTTAGGGGTGTTCAATAATGTTTTTGTGTGTGCGTGTGTGTACATGTGTGTGTATGGTTGTCATTTGTTTAGGTTTTTAAAAAATTGTTTTTAATAGCTGGTATATTTAAAATTGGTCTAATCTTTTTAGTTAGAACATAAAGTATACATCGAATGTGAATGTATATCTTCTTTATTCTTTAATATCTCTCCAAATTTTGTTTTATTCACAGTTTGCTACAGACAACATTTTAAAATTTCTAACAATTCCAGGTTGAGACGTCAGGCGACCCACTAGATGACTTCTCGAACGCCCAGAACCTTACCTACTGGGAGTGCGTTTACTTCACCCTGGTCACTATGTCTACGGTTGGATACGGAGATATTGCATGCAAGACCACTCTAGGCCGGCTATTCATGGTCTTTTTTATCCTCGGTGCATTGGTCGGTGAAGTTTTTGAAATTTTGAATTTTCGATTTTTTGAATTTAATTTTTTTTTTCTGTGGTGTTTTTGTATTACGGTTTTACTTGTTTTTTGTTAAATATAATAAATATTGTATTGATTTTTAAGATTTTTAATTATCTGTATTCTTGATAAATTGAAGGCATTTTAAATACCCTGAATTGCAATTTTTTAATGTATCACTACTACAATGGCTGCTTAGAGTTTGTTGCCCAGACGATCTTTTCTATCCAAATTCTTTTCTATCTAATATCTAAATTATCGCGAAATCTCAAAAGATCAGATGGTTTAACACACTGGCAACCGGCATAACGCAAAAAAAATACAATTAATACAGGCCATGTTTGCAAGTTTCATTCCAGAGATAACAGATATACTTGGTAACAGAAGTAAATACGGGGGATCGTTCAAGAAGGAGAGAGGGAAAAGGTAGTGATGATGAATGGGATGATGATAAAGATGATAACAATGTTGTTTTTGGTGATGATGATGTTAATGATGAAGCTGCTGCTGCTACAACTGCCGCAAACGTATACTACCGATTCAAAAACAAACTAGTTGTATTTATACACACGCATAGAAATGAATCAACAAAATCTATAATTCATTCCCTCTTTATTTCATTAATGCTTCAAAACAAATTTCATTCTTAAAGTTTATTTCTTTTCCTTGTGTTCAATTCATTCATTTTTTCTTTTTGATCGTTCGTCCGTTCGTTCATTCGTTCGTTCGTTTTTTCGTTCGTTCATTCGTTTGTTCGTTTTTTCGTTTTTTCGTTCGTTCATTCGTTCGTTCATTCGTTCATTCGTTCATTCATTCATTCATTCATTCATTCATTCATTCATTCATTCATTCATTCATCAGGCACATAGTTTTGTGCGGACATATAACATACGAATCCGTGTCGAACTTCATGTCGGACTTCCTGCACAAGGATAGGGAGGATGTGGACGTAGAGTTGGTCATCATGAACAGGTGGTAGATGGATGGATGGATGAATGGATGACTAGATGAATAGATGGATGACCGACTGCTAGATTGAATGAATAAATGAATGGATGTTTGTGTAGTGAGTAAGTGAATGAATAAATGAGAAATGAGCGTATGAATAGATAGATGGATTAAAAGATTGATGAGTGAATGGATGAATAAATGAATGAATAAATGAATAAACGATCGAACGAACGAATTAATTAATGAATGGATAAATTAAAAAATAGATAAATAGATGGATTTATGGATAGGTAAAGTAAGCCATTGGTTCATTGAAATTGCCAGAAAAGAGCCAGACTTAGAGCTAGAGAGCTTATTCAAGCGTCACTTCACCCAAGTAAAATTCTTCCAGGGCACCGTTATGGATGCCAACGACCTTCACCGAGTCAACGTAAATTAATAATAATAATTATAAAATTATTATTATTATTATTATTATTATTGTTGTTGTTGTCTGTCATTCATTTATCAATTCATTGTCATTCATTTATCAATTCATCCATCCACCCACCTATACATTCATTCGTTCTTCATTCATTCATTTATAAATCTATCTTTTTAACCTTTGTATAATTCATGTCCATCCATCCATTCATTTATTTATCATTTTTTCTATCCAAAATTTAATACATCCATCCATCCATCCATCCATCCATCCATCCATCCATCCATTCATCCAACCTTTCATTCCTCCATTCATAACTTTCCGCCATGCAGATAAAAGAAGCGGACGCCTGTTTGATCCTGGCGAACAAATACTGTGAGGACCCGGACGCCGAAGATGCCGCCAACATCCTGCGGGTCATATCCATCAAGAATTATTTTGACGATATCAAAGTCATCATTCAACTCCTCCAGTATCACAACAAAGTTGGCTCGTTTTTATTCATTCACTACATATTCATTCATTCGTTCAAGCGTTCATTCACTTGTTCGTTCGTTGGTTCATTCAATCATTCGTTCATTCAATCATTTGTTCATTCATTTCTTAATTTACTCATTTATGTATTCATTCATTCATTTATCCATCCATCCATTCATTCATTCTTTCATTCATACACTCATCCATTCCATCTATCTTTCCACTAACCAAAATTCTCCTTTAGAGTTACCTGCTAAACATTCCAAGCTGGGACTGGAAGCGAGGAGATGACGCTGTCTGCCTAGCTGAGCTGAAGCTAGGTTTCATAGCTCAAAGCTGCTTAGCTTGCGGCTTCTCTACGCTACTAGCTAATCTTTTTACAATGAGATCTTACAAGTTGGTGAGTTCGGATGTGAATATTGTAATGAAAGTTATTTAACGTTTTGTTCAGTCAGTAATTGAAATTATGCTTCATCATAATTACAATTCATAATTATTATAAATTATAACTATATTTTCCGGTCATTTTCAGTCTCCGAACATGCCACAATGGCAGGATGATTACATGCGAGGGACTGGCATGGAAATGTACACGGATTATCTGTCGCCTGCTTTCATGGGAATGACTTTTCCAGAAGCTTCCGAGTCCGTGGGATGCAATTAATTGATCATTAATTAATTAAAAGGAATTAAATTATTTAATTGGGATAATTTGGTTAAAATAATTTAGTTACGTAATTATGTAAAGTTTACTGATTTTTAAATTGAATTAAATTTTTCGGAAGCAAGTTTTCGAGATGGCTCTTAAAATATCGTTCTTGATTAAAAAAATTTAATTTAGTTAACCAGATTATTGACATCACCGTCACACACCACCACACCACCACCACACCACCACCACACCATCGCAGAGTATGCTTCCTGAAACTGAAACTACTATTAATAGCCGTGGAATCTAAAAGCGAAGACGGAAAAGAAAGTAACATCAAGATTAATCCGGGTCCCGACGTCCGGATTGACGCCTCCACGCAAGGATTTTTCTTTGCCGAATCAGCAGACGACGTTAAAAGGTTGCGAAATTGGAATTTTTTGGAATGAAATTTTTTGAAATGGGATTTGTGGAATGGTATTTCGAGACTGAGTGTAGTATTTGAGATGGATTTTTAGGATAAAATATATGAAATGAAATATTCTGTGTTTAATTTCGAAATGTAATAATTTGGGTGGGATATTTAGAGTGGGAATTTTGGGATGGTAGGATACTTCTTTCGGCGAAAGGAGGTTTTTCAACAAGGAGTTTTAGAATTGTGGTATGTACAGTTGTAATTTACTTTTAAAACAGTAAAATTCGTCTAGCTATAACATTTCATTTTGGAAAAAAGTTGCACCTATACCTGTACATAACACAATTTTGGAAGTTCACCAACAAAATTATTTTCTATCATGATGAACTATATTCATAGCAAACAATTTAATTACGATTGATAATAATAATAATTTTAATATAATAATTATAACATAATACTAAAATATTATAACATTATTAAACCAATTAACAAATAATTATGTCGTTATAATTAATAAAAATTACAGAGCGCTCTACTACTGCAAGTTCTGCCATACTGATCCAGTGGATATAAAGCTGGTAAAAAAGTGCAAATGCAAACTGGCGATGAGTGAGTGAAATTTACTCATCATCATTATCATCGTTTGGTTCATTTGTTTTAGTCATTTCTTCTTTCTTCTGTTATTCATTTATAAGACTAAATTATAGTTTTAATAAAAATTATAACCTTAACTGTTGTTGCTGCTGCTGCTACTGCTACTGCTACTACTAGTAGTAGTAGTAGTCGTCGTCGTCGTCGTCGTAGTAGTAGTAGTAGTAGTAGTAGTAGTAGTAGTAGTAGTAGTAGTAGTAGTAGTAGTGGTAGTAGTAGTAGTCGTAATAGTAGTCGTAGTAGTAGTAGTAGTAGTAGAAGTAGTACAGCTGCTACGTCTGTGGCTCCTGCTACTACTACTACTACTACTAATAATAATAATAGCAATAACAACAACAACAATAATAATAATAACCCTTTATTTCTATTATTATTCATATTATTTCTAAAAAATTGACTCTCAACAATATTTTCAGTGTCCTTGAAAAAAGTTCCATTCTTAAGAGGTCCAGACAAACCAAATGACCATGGTGATTATTATTATTATTATTATTATTATTATTATTACTATTATTATTATTTTATTATTATTATTAATATTTTATTATTATTATTATTATTATTGTTTTTATTATTAGCGCACTTCCCGTTTCAAAGGCTGGATGATGATAAAAAAGACAAAAAATCACCGCACCATATCTCCAACAAAAAATTAGCAAGATCTTCGTCGATGTATGTAAGCTGTTGGTTGATTGGTTGGTTGATTGGTTGGTTGATTGGTTGGTTGTTTTGTTGATTGGTTGGTTGTTTTGTTGGTTTATTGGTTGGTTGGTCGGTTGATTGGTTGGTCGGTTGATTGGCTGGTTGGTAGGCTGGCTGGCTGATTAGTTAGTTAGCTGGCTTGTTGGTTGGTTGTTTCATATTCTCGAATAAAAAGTTGAATGTACGTTGTTGATGTTTGGTTGATTGATTGGCTAATTCATTGGTTGGTTGGTTTTTTAATTAGTTACATAGTTAGTTTGTTGAGAAGTTGTCGCTTGATTAGTTAACTGTTTGATTGGTTAATGACTAGTTGTTTGATTGACTGATTGTTTGACTGGCTGACTGGCTGGCTGACTGGTTTGTTTCCATCTCACAGTTCCAGTATGAAATTCAGTCTCGAAGACAACTATTACAACAACCTAAATCTAAAATTCTCCACAACAAACCACATCAACAGCAACATTTTCAACAACAACAACAGCAACAACGTATTTGACACCAACAACAACATCTTCAGCAACAACTTCGACGCCAACAACAACATCGGTGACCCGCGAAAGTTCGACAGCACTGGCATGTTTCATTGGTGCCCCGCTCAAAATATGGGCTCTTGTGTTATAGTTAGTCCTGCTGGCAATAGCTGTTGTGAATGTATTTGATGATGATTGTTGTTGTGGTTGTGATGATGACTGTTGTTACGGTTGTGATGATGATTGTTGTTGTGAATGTGTTTGATGATGATTGTTGTGGTTGTGATGATGACTGTTGTTGTGAATGTGTTTGATGATGATTGTTGCTGCGGTTGTGATGATGATTGTTGTTGCTGTTGATTATGAATGCATGCAATACACAGGCATATATCTAATTCAAACTAAAGACATAAAAAGAAACATACCCACACACACACAAGCATGCTAACACACGCACGCACGCACGCAAATACCACTCATACACACATACAGTCACGTGACCAAGCCGCCATGACAGTTATGAGCAATCACGTGGTCGTCTGCCTATTCGCTGACGCCCATTCAGCAATTATTGGCCTCAGAAATTTGATCATGCCCTTAAGAGCGAGCAATTTTGAAGAGGATGAACTAAAACACGTGGTACTGGTTGGAGATAAGGAGTACATGAAAAAGGAGTGGAAGAATATCTGTAACTTTCCAAAGATATCCATACTTGGAGTGAGTGTGTTTGTAGTGTGCGTGTTGTGTCTGTGTGTGGCTCTGTGTGTGTGTGTGTGTGTGTGTGTGTAGTGTCTGTGTGTGTGTTTGCGTGTGTGTGTGTAGTGTGTGGTGTGTGTGTGTGCGGTGTGAATGTCTTTTTCTTCCTCTCTCTTTCGGTTCCTTTCAGTCTCAGTGTGATATTTTTATTCCAACCAACGTAACGTTCATTATTTTCGCTATACTTTCGCGAATTCCATCACCATCACCATCATCACCACCACCATCATCATCATCATCATCACCATCATCATTACCATTATCATCACCATCACCATCATCATCATCATTATCACCATAATTATTATCAACATCACCAGGGCTCTCCGCTTAATAGGGCCAACTTGAGAGCCGTGCACATCAACATGTGCGATATGTGCATCATCCTTAGTGCCAGGAATTCAACAGGTCGCTTTTATTTTTATTATTATAAAATATAATCATAATAAAAATAAATTATAATAATATTAATATAAAATAATAATAAATAATATTATTATTAATAATGAATAACAATAATAATAAAGATGGTAATATCATTGCCATCATCACCGACCATGTCCAGGCGAGGACTCGAACCTGGTCGATAAGGAGGCGATCTTGTGCTCCCTCAACATCAAGGCCATGACCTTCGACGACACTGTCGGTTTGCTGTCCTGCCAGCAGCAGCGCATGCAGCAGCAACAGCAGCTGCCGCAGCAGATTCAAATTTCCGGTGTTCAGACTACTTCCGGTTTGTCTTGTTCTGTTGTTAAATCTAGCGACTATGTTTTAGATATTATCATCACGATCAACATCATCATCACCACAACCACCACCACCATCATCATCATCATCATCATCATAATCATAGTCGTCGTCATCATCATCATCGTTGTCCTTGTTGTCGGCACAGGCTTCTTGCCCTTTGACGTAGGCACGTTACCCTCCGATGTCAAGGCCATCAAGCGAGGGGTATCATCTGGCAATGATATTCCAATGATAACGGAACTAGGCGAGTAAATTATGATAATGGTGATGGTGACGATGATGGTGACGATGATGGTGACGATGATAATAATGATGGTGATGATGATGGTGACGATGAATAATGATAATGATGATGATGAAGATAACTACAATGATGATGATGATGATGATGATGATGATGATGATGATGATCATCATC